GGTACTGAAGTTCATCGCCATTTCACGAGCGCACACAATTTTAAGGTTTGACATGTTGGATATCCATTTACTCGGTGCAAAATGGTCATTTGCTTTTTTTGTGCCCTAAAATTAACTTACTTGTATTTTTTACTGAAATTTTGCAATAATATCATGTGACATAAAAAATTGTAACCACCACTATTTTATTCTCTACGGTGTCTGATTTCAGAAAATATATAATGTTTGGGGGTTTTATGTAATCTTCAGGTCTAAAATGATTTTTTAAACTTGTGCAAAAAATGCAAAAACGGCTCAGGCAGCAAAAAGGATAAGCCTGACACTCCCCTTTCTTGAGGAGAAACCAATCAGTGCTCATTACACTGCAAGGTCTCTCTCCACCCAGCTAGTCCCTGGGTGCGGTGCTGGAGACAGGCAGGGAGGGAAGGAGGAGGTATACAGTGCAATGTTTAAAATATTACATGTTTAAGTTGCCATAAAGCCCCTTTTGTTTTTAAAAGCCCCAGACATTACTAAAAGCACCTCAGATTTAAATAAGGATTTGGTTCAAATGTATTTATTTGTTATCTGAACAAGTAGATTGGGGCACCGATTTAGTACCTGGACAAGTAGTTTTTTCAAAAATTTCCATACCCCTGGTGTACATTAATTGGTTTATGTGAAAGTTATAGCATCTACAAATGGCAGTATACATACTGTATTTTTTTTTTAATACTAGTCATGGCGGCAATCAGCGACTTATAGTGTGACCGCGGCAGGCATTCTGACACTGGGTGGGACACTAATACGGTGATCAGTGCTAATAAAAAGCACGGACACTGTACTAATGACACTGGGCAGGAAGGGGTTAACATCTGGGGCAATCATAGGGTTAACTGTGTGCTGTTTTACTATTTTGTCTCTGTGTGCTTTACAATGTAAGCATGCTGTTTTTTATTGCTCTGCTATGCAGCATGCTGGTGCTGACAGGGGAGAGAACTGTATAGTTTACATACAGACCTCTCCCCTGTCAGTGTTCCTCGGCGATTGCCGGGTGCCAGTGGGGAATCTCCGGCCGAGGCACGGTGATTGACAGCTGTAGCCGCCAATGGCAATGTGGGCAGGACGTTGCGAACGTCCCCTACCCGGAAATACAAAATCACACACACATAATATATTATTATTATTACATCGAGTTTATATAGCGCCAAAGGGTTTGCTCAGCGCTGTACAATAGAGGGGGGGGGACAATAATGAAACAGTACAGCAACAACAAACAGCACACAAGGGGTTAGAGGGCCCTACTCTTTCGAGCTTACAATCTAGGAGATATATATACAGTATATATATTGATGTTGTGCAGCCCTGCCACCCTGTACCAGTACTTCTGCTATAGCGCGGTCGGGAAGTGGTTGTAAAGACACAAGTTGTTTTTTTTTTAACCTTCATTAAGGTAAAAAGAGAACCTTCAGTGTGTAGTAATCCCCCCCTAATACTTACCTGAGCCCCATCGCGATCCAGCGATGTGCACAAGAGCCTCAGCTGTCTGGGGACTCTCCCTCCCTCCACTGGCTCATGCTGCTGTCAATCACAGCCAGTGAACCAATAAAGAGAGGGGGGTGGGGACAAGGTGTGGCTCTGTGTGTGAATAGAGACATGTACAGCAGTGGCTTGGAAGCAAGCCTGCTTGAGTGTCCCCATAGCAAACTGATTTCTCAGGGGGCACTTGGCAGGAGGGAGGGGCCAGGAGCACCAGCGGGCCTCCTGAGAAGAGAGGATTGGGGCTGCTCTGTGCAAAACCACTGCACACAGCAGGTAAGTGTAACATGCTTGTTATTTTTAAAAAAAAATATATTTTTAATATCAGTTTAAGGGATTATTTTTCCCAGGTACATTATTTTACATTTAGAAACCCTGAACTGCTCTATAATGATGGGGGAACTTTGATGTGTTGGGGAGGACCTTTGGCATGAAGGGGTGGGGGGGACTCTTGATGAGAAGGAGGGGGTGAACACTTGACATGAAGGGGGGTGACGCTGACGCGATGTGGGGGGGGGGGGGGGGGGGCGACACTGATGTGAAGATAATTTCATAAAGGCAGTTGTGTACATCATCCCAGGCTCAGGTTTCCTATTGATAAGTCAAATGTATGTTTTTTACATTTTAGAATGGCGTTTGTTGAGATTTTACATATTTTTAAATGGTGCCAAGACTGAAAAATAGAGAAAGGCTGAAATGAACTAATGTCTAAAGGTCTCTAAAGGCGCTGAAAACAAAACACAGAGTAACCAAATTCCCTGAGTTTCAGGGTTAAAGGAGAACTCCACCAATGGGTCTTCCTCCTCCCCCAAAAAACTCATTGTGTATGTAGTGTCAATGCTCTGTGCTCAGCTGGTCAGACAGTACTCTCATTAGTTGAAAGAGTGCCAGACAATCAGATCATACCTTAGATCGTACGCCCCTTGAGGGTTAGGGACTGATGTGTATGCACAATATATATGTAAAGTGACGGCGCTATATAAGTACCTGTAATAAATAAATCCTTTTTCTTGACAACAGGGTGACCGCAAATAAAGGTTCACCCTCTAACGTGTTATCGGAGCCCAGAAAATCCCCCTTCCATTTTGAGCTTTAGCATTTGCTCGTTTTATTTCCAGAAAATCATACTACAGATCCATATAGGAATTCTAACCACTAAGACCAAGCCCTGATGAAGGGGAAATTGTCTGGCCCCTGAAACGCGTTGGTTGCCACTTAGATATTTAGTGTCAAGAATAAGGATTTATGTACTTCTGAGGTGACGGTTTGGCGCGTCACCATTTTTTTTCCTTTCATCTAGATTTCTCAAGCTGGGTGGCTCCTACCTAGCGGGGATCCTCTCCACCCTCCCCCCCAATGCTTTGTGTTTCAGAGCAACCAAAATCAATTCAAGTCTTATACTTCAAGAGTCTCATTAATGTCAGGGTCCAACTACCCAGCATTCCCAGGCATGGAGGATCCGCACAGAACATTAGTGCCTGTGTTAGTTTAGGGATAGATTTCTGTATGAAGTGGCAGTAGTCCTGTGCCTGGGTGTTCCGGGTGTGGAGATATTGTGCATGTAGTACCAGTGTCAAGAAGCAGCCTGGACATGTGCCGGGTTGAACATCCTCCATGTGCAATACCAACCACATGGTAGAGGAGCACCCTCTCTCTGTAACTCATTCCTGCCCAGGCATAGGTTGTTCCCCTTTGACTCACTGGATACTATAAAAAAGAGATCTTCCCTCTGGCTTTCCTTGGGTATGATCAATGCATGAGCATCCCCAGGAGGCTCCCAACGTAGCCAAACTAGTACCATCATCAGTCCATGCCCCTCCAGCTTCAGGCCTTTCAACAGTGGACCCCAATAGTACTCAACCTTGCCAGGTAAGAGAATATTCTGCATGTAGTACCAGTACTCCAGTAGCCACCTCTGCCACGTAAGGAAATATTCTGCATGTAGGATTGATACTCAAGCACTCAGATCTACCAGATACATCAATTATCTGTATTACCAGTACTCAGCGCTGCCAGGTAAGAAATTAGTATGCAAGCAGTACGGTACTCAGCCCTGCCAGGTAAGAAATTAGTATGCATGCAGTACCGGTACTCAGCCCTGCCAGGTAAGAAATTAGTATGCAAGCAGTACCAGTACTCAGCCTGCCAGGTAAGAAATTAGTATGCAAGCAGTACCGGTACTCAGCCCTGCCAGGTAAGAAATTAGTATTCATGCAATAGCGGTACTCAGCCCTGCCAGGTAAGAAATTAGTATTCATGCAATAGCGGTACTCAGCCCTGCCAGGTAAGAAATTAGTATGCAAGCAGTACCGGTACTCAGCCCTGCCCGGTAAGAAATTAGTATGCAAGCAGTACCGGTACTCAGCCCTGCCAGGTGAGAAATTAGTATGCATACAATACGGTACTCAGCCCTGCCAGGTAAGAAATTAGTATGCATGCAGTACCAGTACTCAGCTCTGCCAGGTAAAGAAACTCTTCCAGTAGTGCAGTATCAACATGTATCAGGTAAGGAAATATTCTCTGCGTAGTACCTGTACTCCAGTGCCCACATGCCCCTGCCAAGTTAATACTCTATGTGTAGCACCAGTACTCCAGTACCCACATGTACCAAGTAAGGAAATACTCTAATTGCTAAAACTGCATGATGTAAAATCTGGTGCAGTTCTGCAGAGAAACCAATCAGCTTCCAGATTTTATTGTCAAAGCTTAACTGAATAAGCTGAAGTTGGAAGCTGATTGGCTGCCATGAACAGCTGCACCAGATTCTGAGTGCTCCACTTTTAGTAAATCTACCTCTATGTGTAGTAGCAGTACTCCGATACTCAGATTTGACAGATACATACTCTGCATGTTGTTCCATTACAGTCCTCTACGTCTAGTGCCATTGCCCACCTGTGCCAGGTTAGAGTCCTTTAAGTCTAGTCCCAGTACCCACCTGTGCCAGGTCAGTGCACTCACCTTCTGCCGGGCTCTCTGGATGAACTCCAGGGGATCTTTCCCCATCTGCAGCGCTGCCCCCAGCCAGGGGATCCATCCCCGTATACAGGGAGGAGGTGGCAGTCTATGGGGGGATCTGGTCAGGAGGGATCTCACGAGCAGGCCGGTCAGGAGCCCCAAAAGGATCCCCACCACGGAGTGCAGCTCCGTCATCCTACCCTCCGCCATCCTCCCCTGACACCTGTCATCCCGAGACACAGACTGCAGACCATTCGAATGTCAGCGGGGGAGAGGGGCGTGTCTGAAGTCCCAGACAGCCCATGGGAGGAACGAGAGGTACGTACTCGCCAATTAGCAGTACGGGCTGAACACATGGGCGTGATGGAAGGCGTGTCTGAGGCGGGTAAGTCATGCAGCATGGCATATGTACATTACAGCTGCACTCTGCCGGGCTAATAGAACTACATTTCCCGTCATTCTCCCGGACACAAATGACGTCATGTCCCCCATGTGACCCTCCATGAAAAGCCCAGATGGCAGCCAAGGAGCGGACAGTGTCGGACACATGGCCCCGACTCAGCAAGTTCGTCCTGTCCGCCTGTGCCGCCAGCGTGGCCGAGCTAGGTACTGGCTCTGTGTGAGGCGTGGCAGGCCTGGATGGAGACTTGCAGTGCTGCACCATGGGCAGTGATAATGACAGGCACTCAGTAATCTGTGTACAGGAGGGGGTGAGATGTGTCCCCCTGACCTCACACGGACATTAACCACTTTAGTTCTAGGCCACTTCTGGAACTTTTGGTTTACAGTTTATAATCAGTTTTTTTGCTAGGAAATGCCTTAGAACCCCTAAAGAGAGAGAGAGAGAGAGAATATAAATTGGTTTGCTTTGCATTTTTTTATGTCACATGGTATTTGCACAACGGTTTTTCAAATACAATTTATGGGAAAAAATATTTTTTTTCAATTGTATTGCAAAAACACTACATATCCCAATGTTTTGGTGAAAATATAAAAGCTGATGTTACACCGAGTAAGTAGATACCGAGCATATCACGCTTTAAAACTGCGCACACCCGTGCAACAACGTCAATTTTTCTATTCATAGGTGACGCTTTAAAAGCCTTTACAGGTTATCACTTTAGATTTACGGAGGCAGGTCTGGTGCTAGTATTACTGACCGTGAGCTGATGATTGCGGCGATATATGTGCGGGACTGACGCATGCATTTCGCCTTTATGTGCGAGCATGTGGGGCCGGGGCACTTTATTTTTTTTTTTTTTTTTTTTTTTACACTTTATTTTTTTTTACCGCTTTTATTGCTGTCACAAGCAATGTAAACATCCCCTATGACAGCAATAAACACGTGACAGTATTTTTTTGGAGGGATCTGGGGATCTATGCACTTGAAAGCATTCAAAACACCAAAATCTGTGTTTTTAATGCTTTCATATTTTTAAAAATGGCGCCAAACGTTTCTGAGTAAACTGGAAAAGATGTCAGGTCATCGCTACCACTTTACAATAAAGGAAAGCAGAGCGATGAGTTCATCGCTGTGCTGTCTCTCCTTTTACTGTCCAGTCACAGGCTGGGAGTCCAGGTTAACCTGGACTTTGAGGAATTGGGTTAAATGATGCTGGTCATCAGACTGAGGACATCTAGTGGCAGAAAAAAGGACTACAGGGGAAATCTCTGGGTTGATGGTGACTACTGCAGCAAAAGTTGGTTTTGTTATTTTATTTTTAATGAGCTCTTTTTTATATTTTTGTCTGGAGTTCTGCTTTAGGTAATAGACTTTCTTTGTCTCTTCCACTAGTGACCTTTCCTCTGGATCTGACCAAAACCCGCCTACAGATCCAAGGAGAAGCGGCCCTGAAGCAGCATGGAGAGTCAGGCCTGGCGATGCCCTATAGAGGAATGGTCCGCACTGCAGCTGGCATAGTGCAGGAGGAAGGCTTACTGAAACTCTGGCAGGGGGCTACACCTGCTGTCTATCGCCACATAGGTAACCAGCTGAGAAGTCTTCTGATACAAAGGCATTCTTTTTTTGTGATACTGTGAGAATCAGGATGTCACCAGGAAACAAAATGAGGATTGTCCCCATTGTGGACATAGATGCCGTAGTCTAATTCTTTCTCACGCTATAAATAAAAAATATTAACTGGAATTTCAAGTTTATGAAGCAAATAATGTCTATGTAATCTACGATGCCACCTGGAATGATTCTCTGTTTGAAAAGCAATATAAATATTTGGCTTTTAAACCTTTTACTGCCAGAGATGTTTTTTTGTTTGCACACATGAATTATTTTAAGCCCATGTAAAACCCTAAAATATATATTTTTTTTAAATCAGGCATTCTAGAAAATAAAATAGTGGTATTTCAAATATTTTATGTCCCTTGATATTAGCACAATAGTTTAGGAAACTCAAAATTTCAGTAGATAATACAGTAAAGTTGCTTTTAGAGCACACAAAAGCAATAAATTAGCTAAGATGTTGACAAAATATAAAGATGAGGTTGTGCTAAGCAAATACTGTAGATAGCCAGCATGTCAACCTTTCAAATTGTGTGCGCCCATGAAACAGACTTCAGTACCCTATATTTTTAATAGGAGACACTTACAGGTCATCAGTTTAGAGTTAACGGTGAGCAATGGCATACAATTATTCGTCTTATCATAGCATGTGCACCAATATATAATGTGTAGCTCAAGCAACGTTTTTTGTGTGTAGGTGCCCCTGACGCGTGTATGTGGGGGTGGGGTTGATTTTATAAGAGATGTTTGGACTGAAAAAAAAAAAAAATCCAAACATTATACTCACCCAGGTGAATGCAGCATTGGTCTGATGCTGCATCTTTCCCCCACCGCCTCTAAGACTGAGAGCTGAGCTTTCAAACACCGTTGATTACTCGTGACAGTCAGTGACTGTCAGTCACCAGCTCTCTGATCTGCCTCTCCAGCGCTCACTGGAGTGCCACACTGTGCAGTGAATGGGAGCAGCTTGCTTAGGCTCTAAGCAGCATGGTAAAAGGCTGAGCAAGCTGCTGGTGAGGTATCTGGGTGGATTCTGACAATATGATCGGGGTCCTTACAGAGCCAGCACCAGCTCTGTGATGTCAGCCAATAGCAGAACAAACTGCACTCCTGTGACTTACGGGAGAAGTAGGGGCGGAACAGCTTTGGCCTTACTCCTTTTAAGTGCTTGAGTGTAATTTAAATTTTTACTTTTTTTTTAAATTTTTTTTCAAGCTAACAAAAAGTCCCCTATGAGATGCATTTTTTGGTGACAGGTTCTCTTTAACGAACAAGAGATCCCTGTGCTCAAATCCCAAAAGCTAGTGCATGCATTTATCCATCAGGTGTTAAAGGGGTGTAACCACATATGAACACTAGAAATTCTGAGGACCCTCTGCACACTGCTATATACCCTTTCAAGCAGACTATGCAATAAATAGGGATATTTAGTTCACACTTATTGCAATACATGCTTAAGCTGGCCAACTGCGTCAAAGTAATCCCTCTATGGCCAGTCCTACTCTGCCCTGCCTTTGCAAATGCTACTGTGGACACACTGCTAGCATAGGGGAAAAGACACAATGGGGAGAGCTACAAGGTTCAGGTCTGGCTACTGACCCAACAAATACAACAAACAAGAGATCCTCAAGTCCTCAGAATTTCTAGTGTTAATATGTGGTTACACCCCTTTAGCACCTGATGGATAAATGCATGCACTAGCTGTTGGGATTTGAGCACAAGGATCTCTTGTTTGTTGTATTGTTGGGTCAGTAGCCAGACCTGAACCTTGTAGCTCTCCCCATTGTGTCTTTTCCCCTATGTTAGCATTGTGTCCAGAGTAGCATTTGAGTAGGCAGAGCAGAGTAGGACTGGCCATAGAGGGATTACTTTGACGCAGTTGGCCAGCTTAAGCATGTATTGCAATATGTGTGAACAAAATATCCCTATTTATTGCATAGTCTGCTTGAAAGGGTATATACCAGTGTGCAGAGGGTCCTTCAGAATTTCTAAGGTTCTCTTTAACAAGACATCAAGGGTGTAATAGTTCCACCTGTGCTCCAATGCACCTAATAGTGTAGATTGCACTCCATCGGTGTCTTCTTCAATCATACTGGCTGGGGAAAAAGGACACGTGACGTTTTACATGTCTCCTCTCGTCTTTAGCAGGAAAGGGAGATCCGTGAACACATGTTCGCTGAACTCCCTCCCTTCTGCCCAGTGGCAACTACTATGCAGGTACCGGATCCACCTATGGGTACGCTGGGTCTGCAAAACATGGCAGGGGCACATGCATATAAGGGTGTGTGGAAGCGATTCGCTAGCTGTGCTCACTTCCATCTGACAGCTTGTCAGATTTACACACCTGCAGCTGCCAGGAGTGTGTGCAAAACCAAAAACCCCAGAAGCTACTAAAGTACTTCAAATTGCGGTGGCTGTAAAAGGGTTAAAGAACATGGCCGACCCTCTAATTTGGCTTTAATTTTTATTTTGGCATCCATATTCTGCCCCTGGCTACTCTTTTTATTTTCTTGATTGTGAGTCTGCAGGTCACATTTTTTATTTCTGTCTTGTACAGTGTACTCCGGAGTTCGCATGGTGGCCTATGAGCAAATTCGAGACTCCCCACTTGGAAAAGGAGACAATGAAACTTTTCCTCTCTGGTAGGTCTTCCCAAATGCTTCACTTTTTATTATATGACCATTCTATTCCTACATGTTAATTAGGTGTTGAGTATGGACAAGGTTGGAGTTCACAATGGGCACTGTTGAATTGTACCTAAGTGCACCTCATTTATGATATTAGGTGGCCACTAGTGAAATCTCATAGACAGATCACTGCGTCCTCCCTCTTACAGGGCATTGCAAGGCCCCTTAATGCTGGACTCCAGGCAGGCATCTAATAAGCCCATTAATGTAGCTTTGAATTCTTTAATATATCATTAAAGTGGAATTCCAGTTAAAAATGAAAATCTGTACTTGGTTAATGTGTACAATAACTAATTCTTTTACATTATGCATTTGTAATTGCTAATTGTCTGATTAGAAACAATACTCTAATGTAGACAATCAGCAATCCTGATCCTCATACGTGACCGCTCAGAGGCACTTCTTGGAACTGCTGTCAGACCCAGGACAAGGTTGGAGCTGATGGTCACTGACTGTGCCCCTGTCCCACCCAGCCCAGCGCCTTCTGTGATGCTGTCCTCATTCATGAGAGCTCTAACAGGCTTCAGCTCCTCCTAGCCTTGCTTTGGCCTACAGGACCGACAGAGAGCTGTAAGAGTGTCTCTAATTCCTCTAATAAGACATCTTTTACATATGTATAGAAATGCAGTAGTATGGCAATGATTGCCTGTAGGTAATTGAAAGCCTTTCCTACCAAATTAAATATATTTTTTGAATGCATGCAGGGTACCTGAATTTGACCTGGTATCGACCTCCTGCAGTCCCTGTACAGCAGGGCTGGAATGTGAGAGAAAGAAGCTGTGCAAGGAGCCATTTAGTTTATGTGCTGATTGGAGGAGAGAGCAGAGTAACAGAGAGATGAGCTCATTGTACTGCTTCTGCTTTCACTGTCCCGGTCACAGGCTGGGCAAGGGGAGAGGGTCCAGGATGCCCAGGATTTAGTGGAAGAGTGGTATAAATGATGCAGCTTATCAGACATAGGATATCTAGCAGCATAAAAAGTATTTGCAAGCTGAAAGTTCATTCACAAAATAATAACCTTCAGTTGTTCTGATACTGTGACTTCCATGCCTTCCGACTCACTAAAACATGCTTGTTACCAGTGAAGTCAGAGCTTGCACACTGGTGCCAGGTAATTCAATGGGGACATATAGGGGTTTATTTACTAAAGCTGGAGAGTCCAAATTCAGACTCCCTTCTGCATAGAAACCAATCAGCTTCCAGGTTTCATTGCCAAAGCTTCATTGAACAAGCTGAGGTTAGAAACAAGCTGGGTTTCTATGCAGAAGGGAGTCTGATTTTGGACTCTCCAGCTTTAGTAAATAAACCCCATAAAGTCACTGGATCACAAAGACAGCCTGCATGTAGCATTTTCAAAAGGAGGTCAGCACAGCACAACGTTTGCTGCAATATTCAGTTTCAATCCAGTCCCTGCAGTACATTTTTTTTTTCTCCTGCTGTTCAATATCCTAAGTGTGATAGACAGCATCATTCAACCCACTTCAACTTTTTTAAAGAGCTTATAGGGCTTTTATTATGTACACTGGTTTAATTTAAAAAAAATCCTGTTTTTTATCATATGCTAACACGTGAACAAACATGCAAATTTATTTTTTCAATAATCTTTTTAATACTGTTATTCTATGACAATTACAGCACTGAGCAAACACACACTGCCATCTTCAGGCAGCAGGGGCATCTGCAGTCTGAAGGTTATTATTTTGTGAATGGACTTTCAACTTGCATGCGATCAATATTGCAAGGCTATCAGTGACAGCCATCCTTGAGAACTAGCAAAGTAGATATGAAAGGAAGGACTTGTATGAATGTAGCCTCAGCAAGGGGCATTGTGACAATTCCATCCTTTGCACTAACCCTTACTGTAACCTCAACCCTAACACTAGCTCGCCATGTAGCTTTAACCCTCACAAAAACCTGTTCCTGTAACCCCCCAACACTTGCCCCAACTCTCAAACTTAACCCTTCCTGTAACTCCAACCTGCACACTAACCCTTCCTGCAACCCCCAACAATAAGTCTCTCTAATGTAAACTAAACTCCTTGTGTGCATACCAACCTCTTCTACACTAGGCTGCTTTACAGCAAAGGCCAACCTTCCCAGGTCTGATAGATACCTAAGCTAGGATCTTATCACTGGAATCTACTGTTTTGCCATAGGAAAGAGAGGAATAACCTTCATGAAACAGTTTTCGTGGTTTATTCACTGCTACACATATCGTTCTGAGCTCCCAGAGTCTGGAATATGTATGCTTTCTTCAGATATATAGGAATATTTAAGCAACTGAGACCTTTAATTACACTGAATTGCAAAGAGGTGTAAAAAAAAATTCTGCTAGTAGTACTTAGTGTATATAGCTATTTTCATAGCCTCAGTTTCATGGTTCTTAAGGCGAGAGAATACAGGAATAGCACAGTAGTTCTCTAATTGATGTCACTTGTTGCCTGAAGTTGCTCTGTTATGTGTTCTCTTTTGATCTCAGGAAGGCTGTTGTGGGAGGAATGATGTCTGGAGCGATTGGTCAGTTTTTCGCTAGTCCTACAGACCTGGTGAAAGTACAGATGCAGATGGAAGGAAAGAGAAGGCTTGAAGGAAAACCTCCCCGGTCAGTGTGTCTAAGTATAGTCTGGAACAGATTAAAGAAAAAAACGGGGTTTCTTTTATTAGTATTTTTTTTATTGATTTTAACAATTTCACCACATATATTCCAGGTGAGATACAGACAGTTTAGGCGTGTAACAGTTAACAGGAGTAAAAAAGAGAAACACAGTAATTGCAGAGAAGGTACTTTCTCTTCTTAACATAAAGGAAGAAGAGGTGTGAGGGAAGGTATGGCAGAAGAACAGAGATACATAAAATGTGGAGGGGATGGGTGGTAGTTGGGTGGGAGAAGGAGGGAGGGAGGGAGGTGGGTTCTGCTCTAGGTAGGTTAAAGCTAATGCATGTGGAGATATTTATTTAATGGTAAGAAGGAAGTCAAATGGCAAATAGCAAGTGATCAAGGGGGCGGACTTGTTGAAAAAAAAGCAAGTTTCTTTTAATAAAGTGTGTCCAGTGTTATTCTTATAGCATTTCCATGACAAAGGTGATTCATTCCCAAAGCAGTGGGATCATTTTCTCATTTGGGCTTGTGTTTTGTATAATTTAGATAACCTTCAAGGAGACTGCTTGGTTTTCTTGGAACATCTCTAAATGTTAACACCCCTGGCGGTATTCCCGAGTGTAACTCGGGGTAAAGTTTCAGCACGACATGCGGTAACCCCGAGCTACATTCGGGATTACCCTGCAGCGTTGCTCCGGGATCCCTTCTGCACTTACCTTGTCCTTCGCTCCCGCGATGTCCCTCCTGCAGCGTCCCCAGCCATCTCCTCCAGCCGATACCGGCATCCGTCTTTCGGGTTTCGTTCCCTGCGAGCATCAGGATGTAGGGGGGACAGAACCGGCGGGAAATTCAAAAATTTAAAAAATGTGACATTCACTAAAATCTCCCAGTAAAACATTACTGTATAAAACCATTTCACATATATTTTGTCCCTAGTGCTTTGTCCTGTGCCCTGCCTGCATTTTTACTGTTCTTCCTGCCTGGAAACTGAGAAATGTCCATGGTGTCCAAAAAGCGTCCCTTTTGGTCAAAAGCGGTTTTAGACCAGCTAGAGAACAGCGATAGTAAATTAGAACCACTTGCAGAATTGAGTGATAATGATTTGTGGGGAAATTTGTCATCAGACACTGAAAACGATTTTGCGACTTTGCTCAGTGATGTGCGAACTTGGCGCTCTATTTCAAATTTCAGTGTTTTTGGTTTGATTATATTATTGAAACAATTTATTGTTCTATTATTATTTTTATGATTATTTATTAAATTATCATTTATGACTTCGTGTTTCAAATTTTAACATAACCGGGATGTTTACTAGACTCTTGTTCGGACAGATTTCAGTGAGTTATTCCTAAAAATACAGGCTTACAATAAAAAAAAACGACATATTTCCATGCAAAAAAAGTACCACTTCGAGCACAGAAATACTGACCTAATCAGACTGCTAGGGAGGTTAATCTAACTCAGAGCATACCACAATGTATCACACTCAGAATGGATTTCCCTGCCTAAGCTGGCTCTGTAATCTGCAACTTGACTTTATTATCCGCAGTGACATCCAACAAAATGGTAATTCTGATCTTTGATGGACTCCCACTAGAGTCAGGGGAGCTTTTCTGAAATGTTTAGTGAATGTATGAGCACAGCCACAGTCCACAACAATCGTGGAGGTGGAATGTATCCTCTTCATGTGCCCAATTCGTTATAATGATTTTAGCAACTAACATAAAAAAAGATAACATTATATGTTTAAGAAAATAATGGATTGTTAGAAAAGCTTGTTCCATTCATTCATTATGTAATCTACCCATCTCCAGGGGTATTGAGAATAACCAACCCCAAATTTGTCATGTATTTTAGTACAGTGATAAACTTGTTTAAGGCATATACTCCTTTATGGAAGCCAATGTTTAATAAAGTGGAAACAAAGTGTACTGTAAGTGTTGTTAAAAATGCTGCCCCCCCCCCCCCCCCCCCCCTTCTTCTTTTTTTTTTTTTTTTTTTTTTTGTGGTCACCTTCTGCAGTTCCCCTGTGTCAGGGAGCACTTTACAATGGCTCTGAATTCTGAAAGCCATGCCATCACCTGCTAGTCCTCATTGCCCATCCAGTGTTGGCTCTTGTTTCTCTCCCCTGCAGCAGCCACTTGCTGATACAAGCGAGCCAGATCTTCTGTATCCTGTGATTGATAATGTGATAGATTAAAAAAAAGTCTTTCCATAGATCATCTTTATAAAGGCTATGCATAATAGGTAGGAGGAGGGTGGAGGCAACATATTTAACAACATATATAGTTAGCATTTTCTTCAACTTTAATAAAAAATTGGCTTCCATAAAGCAGTTCACATACTTTAAATAAGTAGAGATCAGGGGCGGACTGACCATTTGGAAACTTGGGCACTGCCCGAGGGCCCAGGGTCAGTAGGGGGCCCCATGAGATGTCCCTGGTACCTTTTTCATAGGCTTTTTTGAGTTTAGGCAAGGACACAGGGGCCCCATGATCCCCTCTTGCCCGGGGGCCCCATGAGTTGTCAGTCCGTCCCTGGTAGAGATCAATGTGCTATAATACAAGTCAGAGTTCAGCAATGGTAGTCTCATTATTTCTCTTGTGACAGGTCTACTTTAACTCTGACTGCCAGGGACATGGCCTACACATCATGTAATCAATGGGTATTAAACAAGGTCAAGGCTGTTTTGCTCTGAAATTGTTCATCAGGCTGTGCTCTGTTATGTAGAAGGGATCTCATGTTTAAAGCCACCCAATCACTTTATGAGACCTGTAATCTGAACATGTGTTTTGGTTTTTTTTTTTTTGCAAATGTTAAAGCCTGTTTTTTGGTGGCTTTAGAGTGGACCTAGACTTGGGTAAATGTATCCTTTCAACAGTCTGAGAGAAATTTGTTGTGAATGATATAGCACATGCAGTAGATATACTGTGGCAGTTCTTTGCCCAGGATCACTTATTCATTCACTTAGGCATATCCTACCCACTCCAGAATCTAAGAAACTCACGTCCACATTCTATAATGCTTTGCTTTCACCTTCTGCATCATTATTGGCATATCACCTTAAAACCCGCTGGGAGGTGGACGTGGGGGAGCTGGATGATGAAATGTGGGAGGAGGTGTTGTCCTCGACTAAGATGGTTTCCCCAAGGTTGTTGGATCATCTTACTCAGCTATATATTATACATAGAACCTACTTGACACCAAATCGATTGTCTAAATATAGGCCACAACATAGCCCACTTTGCACTAAATGTGGGGACCTTGATAGCACTTTTTTTCATTTAATAAGGTCCTGTCCCCTCATACGGGGTTACTAGTCTCAGGTGGTCCGGTTCCTTACCGGTTCCTCCATGACAAGATGGGCTCTCTTACCCTTTGCCCTAAACAGTGCCTGCTCGGTCTTCTTCCTAGCTCAGAAACCGACAAATTTCACTCCTTTTTTTTTTTGCAAGAGACACTATTTGTGGGCTAGACTACTCCTTGCTTGTATGTGGTTGCAGGTGCTGTCATCTACATTTTCACAGTGGGTAGCTGCGGTTAATAGCACTTTACCATATAAGAAGGTCACTTATATACGCAGAGGATGCTCTGCTAAATATCACAAAGTTTGGGATAGATGGCTCGACTCTACATTTACTTGTGACGAGGAAGAGGAGGAATGATTACTCTTTGTAAATCTATTATGTTGGTTGATATTATGTTGGTCCTCCTTTCCTTGCCTGCGGCAAAGGCTCTACAATCTGTATAATGCGTTACTCGCTTATCTAATCGATCTGTGTTTGTTTTCATTGAATATGTGATGTGGCTGCATATCTGTTCCTCTCAATAAATAGTTTGCTTGATTTAAAGAAAAAAAAAAAGGTACCTGCATGACTACATGTATATGACTTGTTTTTAGTTATTGCACCCAGCATTCTCTACTACAGGAAGTTTTTTCACTTTGAAGCTAGGATCAAGAACAGGGGGACATAACCTCAGACTAGCAAAAGGAAAATGCAAAACTAACTTTAGAAAGTATTTTTTCAACAGACTTCCAGCAGTCACCTAAGCTCTGAAGGTTTTTCTTTTACCTTCATGCAGCAGCTCGGGTGCCCTCAAAGCAGGCTGTTTGCTATGGGGGCACCCGACAGGAGGGAGGGGCAGGAGCTCCGGCAGGGACCAGAGAAGAGGAGGATCTGGGCTGCGCTGTGCAAAACCACTGTACAGAGCAAGCAAGAGCAAGCAAGTGTGACTTGTTTGTTATTTTTAAGAAAAAAACAAGACTTTAGTATCACTTTAAGTTGACCATACAGTATATTAGTATAATTTTGGTTGAAATGTTTTGTTTTACAAATTGCTAGTGAAATCAAAACATTTTTGTTTTCAACTATAGTGATGAGAATGTTTAAAGAAGCAGGATGAAAAGTTATTTCAAATGAGCCCAGTTAGGGCTTGTTCAAGCCGTAGTTAAGATGCATTTTTACTGCCCCCAACCACACCCCCTGTAGCTGTAGGGGCAGCGCCTGGACATACATATGCCATGGCTATAGTAATTTGCTTCATGGCCTTGCCTGGAATTATACCCACGTTGCAACACGTTCAGGTGAATGGGATCATGGCCTGCTAGTGTGCCAATCAAGGGTTAAAGCAAATGGTGAGGAGTCTATACAGTGCCTCCTGATCACCTGTCATATGCTCTTGGGTTGCTCTTCAGAGCAAGTGCAAACAAGCTCTTAAAGTAAGAATACAATACTCATGCACACCACAAATGAATGATAAGCTGCTGCAAACACCTAAATGTGTTTCCAAGAATAGAGCTGCGCTTCCCCCTTGTGACCCAAAAAACAAACTAACACCCTCCTGAGCATAAAATCCAGTGTGTAAATGAATAGATCTGTGAAACAAAGTTAGTAGTAAATAAGAAAACTGGCTAAGCCACTAAATCAAAATATGTGAAACGTATAAAATAAAAAATCAATCGCAATAGCAATAAACATCTAGCCGAGCTATAATAAAACACCCGGCTGAGCTGAAGAATATAGTGTAAAAACCAACAAGAACAGTAATAAATATGTGAAATATGTATATCAGAAATAAAACACAATCACCGTAGCAGTAGTCACCTGGCTGAGCTGAAGCATAAAGTATGAAAACCAACAAAAACAGTAATAAATAATTGTGAAATAAACAATCAGCCCCCCAATGGAATAAATCAGTGATGAATCAAATGAATGCCAAACTGGGCTAGATATTGACTAAGTGCATAATGGAAAAGATAAGCAGCTATACTAAATTTATACAAAAAAACAAATGAATGGTGAATAATAGAGAAGTCTAAAAGTGATAAAACAGTCTCTTCCAACATTTAAAGTAGTACACTAGTGACTTCAACAGGTGTGCAAATCAATCATGCTCCTCCAGCTTCAGGCATGCACACTCACCTTAACAGCTGACCTACAAAACATATAGGTCAACGTGCTCAGTATTAATCCCACTGGACCCTCTGCTTTCACAAATCTCTCCATGCATACTCAGGAACAATCCTTTACATCCCCACTGCAAAGGGAGTCCTTAAAGTAGTTTCCAATCATGAAATTTATTTCATTCCAAAATTACATTTTCAAAGCAAGTGAAAATTAGATGTACTTTTGAATGACATTCGCCATGTCTCTGATGGCATTATTGAATGTACTGATTAGATTTTTCCTAGGAATGTTCATTTGCAAATGTACCAGTTTATGGCCAGCTTTAGAAGTGTCAACCCCTTCCTTGTTTCTGTGGTCAGAACTATGGCATGGACAACATTTGTTCTCCCTGTGACTTCTGATTTGTTTGTGTTCTCTTATTCATAGAGTTCGAGGTGTTTATCATGCTTTTGTGACCATTGTGTCCAAAGGTGGATTTCGTGGCTTGTGGGCAGGCTGGGTGCCGAATGTCCAGAGAGCTGCCCTGGTAAATATGGGAGGTAAATGGACCTTTTTATTGAAATGACCTCTTTCTTTATCTAGTGGTATTGTGAACAAAGTATGTGGCTGTACGGTAATGGTGTGATAGACACATCTAACTACCTCAATATAATAACTACAAATAATGTCTGCATTATTAGCAAAGATAGAACTTTAGGTGGAACAATTAATCTCAAGCTTGTACGCTAAGTGGAGCTTGGGGAAGCCAAGTTATCTTTGAATTTCAGCTCTGAGATTCCTGTATTAAATTGCTTAAGTTTAATCAAAAGTCAAAATCTTTTTTCCAATTTGGATTGAGTGGGATGTGGTTAAAAGCCCCCATCAGTTTTTTGTTTTTTTTACTGTGTCCCATTCAAGAAATTTTCCTTTCCCTTCCTGTCCTGTATACACAACTAGAATCTCCTAATTCAGGGAAATCTTCTTTTAGAAGATGATCCTCTTTTTCTGAAGTGCTGCTCAACCGAAGCCAGTGTGCTCAACGACAATTTCAATGATCCTTAGGGCCCCTTCATATGGGTGATCCGATCAGGTCCACCAGTCTATGTATTGCTATGGACCAGTGGTTGTAAACAGACTTACGTCTGTTTACACCAGGCTACCTCCAATCCGATCCGGTCTAAAAAAAAAACTGAAGGGGATCTGTTCCCCTCCGTTTAGGTGAATCAGATAGGAAGACCCACAGAGCAGGGTGGGCTGTGTCCGCTCTAGAAAAACTGTCATCCGCCTGCTCAGCATAGGATCAGCGGCCTGATCCCCTGCTGAACAAAGCAGATTCTGCCCTTTGTGAAAGGGGCCTTAGAAAATCCAAATTCAGCTCCCTGCTTGTTTTTGTGTTTGAGCAGCCAAATGTTAACAAGGATTCTACCCCCTCAGCTTTTATTTTAAAATGGAGACAAAATAAACACCTGTCTCATTACCTCTGCTGCCAATTTGTGGATAGCACCGCAGCATGTAGACTCTTCAGCCACCATAGCTCTTCTAGAACATGGCAGTTTTGGCAGGGGGACATAAGTATTTTTTTCTTTTCAAGCAGGCATTTTTGTTTACTTTTCAAAAGTGTGTCAGGAAAATACACTTCACTCCAAGTGATATATGAACCCTGACCGCGTTTCTAATTTTAATCCCTCGTGTGTTTATGTGACACCTTGTTGCATGTATGGTGGACTTGCCCTAAGACAGCCCAGTTTTGGACACGAGTTTATGCCATGCTCAGATCTATCTTTAATGTTTCCCTTCCTCATAACCCCTTGGAAAGCCTTTTACATGGTCCAATACTATCCCTCGCTAAACACCAGAGGCATTTGGTGAATTTGAGTTTCTGGCTTCACAGTGAACGCTTGGCTAGAACATGGAGGCAACCATTTATTAATTTTGCAGACGTTAAGCAGTGGCTAATCGGCACAATGGTAAACGAGAAGCTCACTTCCATTCTGGATGATACACACGCTAGGTTCTTAAGGGTTTGGGATCCCCGGATCATATATAATGCTCAAGAGAACATCAATTGAACCCTGCTTTCTGTATAATACGCTTCTGTAGCCTTTGTACACCATACCTGGACCAGCCCATGGATGCACCAAGCCATGTGTTTTGAGCTTTTCAACCTTATACTCAAGCTCAATGTATTAATTTCACTCTGTTATTGTGCCTCACTTTTTGTAAGACGAAAGTGTGTCAGGTTCGCTTTAATCCTGATTTGGAAACAGCATTGAGTTTATTATTGGGATAATGGCATATATGGTATATAATTTTTTCATATATAATCTGGTTTAAAGTTTTCAGTCCCACATCTGCCTTTTGAGCATATTAAAACCCTAAACAGAAAGGCTGTCTCATGTTCACTTGGAGGTCTATGTATAAAGTTTAAATTTTGCATACTCTAATATGATTAGTTGCGATATTGTCAGTACCACCAAAATGCAATAATGCATATTTTTTTTTTTTTGTGGATTACGTATTTCTGGGGAAAAAAATGCGTTCTGGCCACTGGATTGCACTGACGATATAGGAACTACGTATATATTATAGCACATATGGGGGATTTTTATTATTAGTGTGCACATGTTTCTAATATCTGCAGTGAACCTTTAATACATAGAATCCTTAACCATTTCAATACCGTGCAATTTTACACCTTCCTGCCCAGGCCATTTTTCACGTTTCAGCGCTCTCACACTTTGAATGACAATTGCGCAGTCATACAACACTGTACCCAATCTAAAATTTTATCATTTTCTTCACACAACTAGAGCTTTCTTTTGGTGGTATTTAATCACCGCTGGGGTTTTTATTTTTTGCTAAATTAACAAAAAAAGGCCAAAAATGTTGAAAAAAATACACGTTTTTCTTTGTGTTTTCTGTTATAAAAGTTTACAAATAAATAATTGTTCTTCATAAATTTAGGCCGAGATGTATTCTGCTACATGTCTTTGGTGAAAATAACCCAAATTAGGATGTATTATTTAGTTTGTAGGAAAGTTATAGAGTTCACAAACTATGGTATAGATCTGATTATTGATCAATCCTGAAGTACTGACGACCAATCTAATTTCTTGAGGTCTAAGAATGTCAGAACAGTACAGATATCCCCCAAATGACCCCTTTTTGCAGAGTAGACAGTCCGACGTACTTCATAAGAGGCATGGCGAGTTTTTTGAAGTTGTATTTTTTTTGTCATAATTTTTTCGAAAAATGAAAAAAAATTTTTTCACTATTTTTTTTTTTACATACTGTCACCAGTGCAGTACAGCGTCATCATATAACTGGCATGGCGGTGAACAGGGACACTGACTGGTGACAGTATTGAAAAAAAAAAAAAAATATATATATATTTTATTTTTTTTTTTTTTTTTTTTTTAACATTTTTTTTTTCATATTTTAATATGACCAAAGTAGTACAATGTCACCATAGTAACATTGTACTACTTTGGGGAAGTGATCAGTATTTTTTTTTTTTTTTTTTTTACACAATTTGCTTATAGCAAAGAAATACTTTGCTATAAGCAAGCATTTACCTGAATGAAATGGATTCATTCAGCTTTTCTTTTTTTTTTTGTGCTTAGCTGTGATTTGGTCACAGCTAATCACATGACATGTGCATGTGATTAGCTGTGACCATTCACAGCTAGGCACTAGTATACAATGGATGGCATCATGAATGAAGCCATCCATTGTATACAACTGTCATGTGACCTGCTGTGATTGGTCACAGCAGGTCACATGGTACCTGCAACGGGGGCCGGTACTCAGATCTGTCATCGGCCGTGTCCGAGGTACACGCCCGGTGACAGATCGAGCCGCTGCGCCGCTCTGCATTAGCGCAAACGGCGCATGTGCGGGAGCACGCCAAATGGCGTGCACCTGGAGTGGAGAAGCAACTTTGAAGCCGCCAAACGGCCATTGGCCGGGTGGCAAATGGTTAAAGTGGAGTTCCACCTGAAAAAGAAAAAAGTCAGCAGCTACAAACTGTAGCTTGTGTGTTTTTGGCATCACAGAAGGACAGGGGCATATTATGTATTGAGGCAAATGATTAACTATGGTAACGCATTAATCTGAGCATTTACTTTTCTATGAGCTGCAGCACTTCTCAATGGCCATGGATTGCAGTAATAAGGCTGCACATTTATTTTTAATAATCAGAAACACTGCACATTCTCTCTGGTTGTGCAGAAACCACAGCTGTCACTCCTTCATACTGTGCTTTTTGGGAATCTCAAATCTTTATTCGTTCAGGAGGAAGTCTATTAGACAGTCCATGTAGTTTCCAGCCATTCTAATCATCCTGATCCTTAGTGGTGATTTCTTTCTCTTTTGCATCTGTAATGTTAACTGTGCACATTTTATTTGTGTAGAATGTAGACTGTAAAAGCTTGTCATTATACCTGCTAGGAATTCCGGGGGCCCCGTACAGCCTACCTGACAGGAACCCGACACCCCCCCCCCCCCTTCCCAAAAATATCAAATTATATTTTTGCTACATGCCACGGCCGCAATGCAATGCTTTGCAGCTATGGCAGAAACTATACCCTTGTTGAACAAGACCTATTCAAGTGGAAAACAGTGCATTAGTGCAGGGTGTAAGCAGGCCATGAGGATAACCCCTCACTGCCCATCAAATGTTTTTTTTTTTTTGGTACATTTATTTTTAACAGCCCTGTTGAGGAAAGTCTGACAAAATATCAGGGGCGTAAACAGACCCCTGATTTCTCACATTTGAGACAGAGAAAGGGATTGAGCACAGAGATTCATCAGTCCCTTCCTCTGCAGCCTCACCTTCACTGATGAAGGAATGAAAAGAGCTATGAGGCTTCCTGTTCATTCACAAACTAAAGCATAGTAAATACAGTTTACTATGCTTCAGTGATGAATAGACACAGAAGCGATCGGTAGTAATAGCCCACTGTGTTCATCCAGGAAAGTAAGGGCCAATTAATATGGCATATTTAATGCCCCACTCCCTGCTCTCCATCCTGAAAAAATCTCCTTGTGTGCCCTCAGCAGCTGCTGGTGGGAGTGGAGGGAAGCTGGAAGTGCTGCTTGGGAGGGGGGTATAAATATTAATGATTCCCCCTGAAATGCAGCTGGAGGGAGAAAGCCAGTAACGCTGCAGGGGGATCCGCACAATGTCACAAGGCAGTACAGCCGTCCCTCCTGCTACCCCCTTTTGAACTAATGGGGCCCATTTTCAGTACAGGAGGACCGGCTGTACTGCCTTATGAGTGGCCCTAGACACAGCAGTTTTGCTATTTGTTGTGCTTCACCTTATATTCTGTGAATGTACTGTAAAGTAAACTTTTTGTCATACCTCTCCAATGAATCTTGAGCTGTTCCACAGTCATTGTCCTGTGTATGAATGTACATGAAACCTTAAACCGTGACCAACTCCTTTTTTATTCTTTATTTAGATCTAACTACATACGACACTGTGAAACACTTTCTACTAAGAAACACAAACCTCAAGGACAACAGCATATGTCACAGTATTTCCAGGTATTTTTTTTTTTTTAAGTAAATAAAATATTTGCATTCAAGTGCAGAATTGAGGCATCTGAGTTGCACATTGCTTGTATGTAGCTGAACCAATGTCACTTTTATTATTGTTTGTTTAAAGAAAACTGTAATGGCTTGTTGGCAACTTTAATGTTTTAAGTTTATAAATGAACATTAATTATATGACAAGCATTCCCAGAGCACCATGGCATAACAAAAGAGCCAGCCCTGCAGAAGCTGTCTGCCTTAATGCAGGATTTATGAGATTGAAACCTCTCTGATGTGGGATCAGGGATGAATCAATCATGTGTGTGAAATTCACTTTGAATTATTGAGGTCAATAAACAGTCTTTTTACAATGGGCTGTAAAGGGATGGAAGAAAGTGTATGAAAAAGAACCTAGAGCTCCACCTGTTGGTTAAAACAACAGAGAGTAATATATAATAAAATATAATACACACAATAAAAAAAGTAATATATACTGTACATATATATTTTAATATAAATAAAAATATGCTATAAATAAAGGATGATTCCATTTCAACTGAAAAAAATTATATCAATATAAAAAAAATAGTATAGCATATACAATATTATGAATTACCTTTCCATTGCAGTCTTCAGACCTGAAATTGTCCGCACAGTTCAATGCAATATGGTAGTCTGGAGGCATTCTGTACACCGTTGGTGTACAAAACATCTAAAAAAATGTAATTTTCTGCTTGTGTGATTGATTCACTGATTTTCCCAAAAGTCTGAAGTAAGATGCACTTACTTCTAGAGGGATGCGCACACTGCAACTCTTCTCATCAGAAGACTGCGAGTGTACCAGGTGATTATAATGAACCAGACACTCCAATTCAGAATCAGTCTGCACATGATATGCTGAAACACACAGCTATTTCTTCAGAGGAACAAAATATAGGAATCTGCTACAAAGTTTATTAAAATCCCTGCAGAATGTAGATTAAGGGGATTGTTTTCTTTTCTGCAAAAGTGGAGATTTGCATAACAAAACAAAATAAAGGTAGAACACCCATACCCATACACATTCCTTTTAAAAATGCTTAGGAGTATGGCTGCATAAATGCCTGCCCATAGGCCATGCTTTAGGACACTATATACATATAGGGGTAGTCGGGCGTGAAGTACCCTTTGACTGGCTTCAGGCATTTGCAGTTTGTAGTGGTTCCCTAAAATTACCAGTCACTTTTCAGGACATTTTGTACTTTGGCTATGGAGAGGAATTGAAAAGGTATGCAGCAAATGCCTCAAGAACTGGCCTTATCAGGAAAATAGTAAATAATATTACAAAACATCTTTGTAGGTCAGTTTACCATAGGAAAGCACACTGAACAAGAGTGGCCTTCTTTAAAATGGTTCTAAAGCCTCAAGGTGTTTTATCGTAATGCATTCTATGCATTTGGGTAAAAATCCTTCTCTGCTGCAGACCCCCCCCCCCCCCCCCCCCCCCCCCCCCCCCCCCCCCCCCCCCCCCCCCTTATTCTTACCGGAACCTGATCCCATCCAGCGATGTGCACGATAGCAGCGGCTCTTGCCGCTGTCTCCCTCCTCACTGGGTAGATTGACTCCCACTCCTGTTAATGAGCAAGTGGGGGGCGGGGGCCGAGTCCCACTGTGTCAATGGACACAGCAGCATGGCTCGGAAATGCGCTAGCACGGGTGCGCCCATGGAAAGCGGCTTCCCGTGGGGGGACTGGACAGAGAGGAGGAGCCTAGAGTGCCGGCGGGGGACCCGAGAAGCGGAAGTTCGGGTAGAATGACTAAAGAAGTCGGGCTATGCAAAATGATAATCTAAAACACAGGAGCTATCTACAACAGGGTGGTGCAGCCAGAAGAAACTCTAGGGAAATTTACTGAAACTGGAGCAATCACACTCTGGAGCAGCTGTTCATAGTAACCTATCAGTATCTAGGTTCAGCTTGTTCAGTTAAAGTAGAAATAAAGGCCAAACTTTTTTTTTTCCATTTTGGATAGAGTAAGGGAGGGTTATAACCCATGTCAGTTTTTCCATGTGTTTCCCATTAGGATTAATTCCCTTCACTTCCTGTCCCATTGCCAAAACAGGAAGTGAGAGGTAATCCCTCTAAAAGTGAAGGAATCCCAGGGTGTCACCAGAACTAGTGTCCCTATTGGAAGATTTCCCCTCTATTTTTGTTCTGGTGTCAAGCCAAACTGTGGGAATTTCTGGAATACAGAGGCTAAATCTTCCTAATGGCACAGACAGCAATAAAAACTGACAGGTGTTCTAGTCCCTCTCCAGTCCAAAACACAAAGAAAAACTTTTACATTTTTAAATATACTTTAAACTTTGAAAATGAAAGCTAAAAGCTGATTGGTTGCCATGCACAGCTGATCCAGTCTTAATAAGTTCCCCTCTCTGTATATTATAATTTTTTGAGAAAGTGTCCTGAATTTAATCCCTTTGAAATGCTGTGGTGTATTCAGGGGGCAAATGATTAATGCTGTCATTTTTAATTGTAACTAGCTTCTTTTTTAGAAAATCCTTGAAAACAAATATAAAACACAAGTATAATTATGAAATTAAAAAATGTAAATACAATTCACCCAAGAACATTATAATTTTACTATCCTGTCTTAATTTGTCTTCCTATCAGCGTCCTGTAGTTTCTCTGTACAGCAGCACCCTTGGAGAGGGAGGGTCAAAACTATCAGTCACGCTTTGTTGCTATAGTTTTTCACAATGCCTGTATCGAATCCACTCAATTCCAATCATTTTTTTGTTTTTTCATGTGTGTCTGGAGCAGTATTTGTTCAGGTTTGGTGGCTGCAACGTTGGGAACCCCGGCTGATGTTATCAAGACCCGAATAATGAACCAGCCTAGAGACAAACATGGCCGGTATGTGTCAATATGCATTTATGCAGCCTTTCTCAACCTTCTTCTTTTTTCGATTTTTTTTTTTTTTTGAATGAACTCTTGAAATAACTTTCTGGCCTCAGGAATCCCCTGGTAATAATGGCTATATCTGTAGCTTATGATACATTGGTCTATGGAATGAATGCTCCTTATATACAGTATGTGGTCAGTAGGGTGAATCCTCTTGCAGATGAAAAAAATCACAAGTATCAGCAATAACATATCTGAGAAGCAGATATTGCTCATTGTTCAAGGAACCTCTAATATCCTCTGAAATAACCCTAGGTTTCTAAGGATCTCAGGATGTCAAAAGATAATTTATTGACTTTGACCCAGTTATATTTCAGCAGAAATATATGACAGTAAAATTGACAAGGAAAATGTTTCCTTCTAGCAATTCTTTGGAAGATGATCTGTTGCTAAAGGCAATAAGTACAGTTATCTTTACATGAGGTCCAGTGTTGTTAAAGGCAATGAGTATAGTTATCTTTACATGAGGTCCAGTGTTGTTAAAGGCAATGAGTACAGTTATCTTTACATGAGGTCCAGTGTTGTTAAAAGCAATGAGTACAGTTATCTTTACATGAGGTCCAGTGTTGTTAAAAGCAATGAGTACAGTTATCTTTACATGAGGTCCAGTGTTGTTAAAAGCAATGAGTACAGTTATCTTTACATGAGGTTTAGTGTTTTTGTTGCTAGAGGCTATTGAACTACCTAATGTACCCAGAGGAAAGTTATTTTTTTAAAAGGAGCATCTAAACCCAAGAACAGAAATCTAATATTTTGCAGCTTACCCATCCTTAAATGTGGTGTCTGCATTACTTTTCTTTATTCAGGCTTTTATTTTTATAACAAAGGGGCTGCTATAACAGGACTATCTCCATAACATAAACTGGGGGTGTTCTGTAGTCAATGGAGAACTGATAACAAGGAAGTATAGGCAGAGTGCACAGAAATTTGTCAGCTAGATGTCTGGCAGGATCAAGAAGTCTTTTTTTTTTTTTTTTGCGCTTACCAAATAGGTATAACAATCATTTTCAGTGGTATATGCAACATATAAAAAGGAAACTAATAAGAAACCATAAGAAACCTTATGTTTGGGTATAGATACATAGGCTTTAAACCTTTGACCACCAGTGGTGTGTACCACACTTCATGGCAATCAAAAGGTTAAAACAAGCTTTTGATTGCAATAGCATCCATTGGGTTGTTTTTAAAATTATTTTAAGTTCCAGGCTTTTAGATAAAATGAATCTGGGCAGCTTTAAGCCCTCTGGTAACTGCAGTCAGTAGGCTGAATCTAATAAACCCCTTATGTCTCCATAAAGTGTATCTGGCAGTTTTCACCTGGGAAATATTATTGCCTAGGGGTCCTATCAACCCCTTGCAATAGAAATAAAGTTAAGATAAAAAATAGAAACCCACAAATGCAAAAAGTATAAAAAAGTACAAAAAACTCCCAAAAACTGCGCTAAATAAATATAAATAAAATTACCAACATATATTTCTTTCAAATTGTAACCATGTCTCAAATACCCCCCTACCTACTATATAAATTCCTCAAAATATATATCACTTATGTAATTATATCCGTGTTCACGCTTCCACTTTAAATTGTTAGACGTTGAAAAAAATATTTAAAGAAAAAATATTTCATAGGCGCATGCATAAATTATCTATATAACATTCCCAAAACAATACCTAATTATAAATATTGATAATATCAATAATCTATATAGTGCATAAAAAAGTCCAAATAATTCAGTCCATCCAGTGATCACCACATGAAAAAATCATGAATGATTCATGAAGATAAATTATTCAGTTCATCCATGAATACTTGTGCAAAAAAATGAATATAAATTTGTGTGGTGCTCCCCTCTCAGGTGTGCACTCACCAAACAGTGTAGCCTCCCACTCTCATGGTTGGCACACTGAACTTTGGTAAATAATCCTCCAAGGACCAGATCAAGTAATTCTCCCTTCAACCTGTAGTACTGGACTCTTAGGATAACTGTTCCCGATCTCCAAGGCCAATAAATCTTCTTTCCACTACTCCACTCCTATCATATAGAAGATAAAAAACGAGAGCCCCACATGGTGCAGTACCATTTAAACCATTTATTCTCCACAATAGAATACTACTTAAATGGTATTAAAGCCCAAAGATGTTCATAGCTTATGTTTCTTATGAGAAGAAAGCTGGAACAGTGCTCTCGCCACCGTCGGCCTTCAATCTCAGACAAACCCGTGTCACTTCCGGTTCAGGTCCGCGTCCCTTCCGGTACAGCCTCGCCTTGATGCGTTTCGTCACTTCCGACTTATTCATAGGGAATGGCTGTGCGGTGCTGCTTAACAGCTTCATGGTGTGTTCAATCAGTGTAAAGGAGCTCCTGATAGGCTAAAATTACTGAAACCCAAAAATGCACCTAGAGTGAACATGCAGGTGACAGGCTTGGGAGAAAGTAACTCCTGCAGCAAGGTCATTTTGTCTAGGATAGAAAAGTAAGATACTTACCCTATTTCTCACTACTGTAGGCTTCCTCCTCTTCATAAGACAAGTCCCTCAAAGTTGCTTTGCTCTTTGCTGCCTGAATGCTCGCTCCATTGTTCAACATTGTCACGTACAATACAGGACCAGTGGCTCTGCATTGTACGTGAGGAGTGAGGATGCTGAAGGGGCCCGCCCACATCCCCAGAGAGGTAAATTGCTTACTTTCTTCTTTGCTCCCTGAGAGATTGACACACCTGGAAGCATCGGTTTTCTAATGAGACTTTGGGGATGATTTCTCTAAATCAGAGGAGTTGCAGTGGAAGAGATAGGTATCCAATATCCAATATCTTATTTACAGAGGTTTTTGTCAAAATTTAAGTTTAGCAAGAGAAGACTGCGCTTTTGACAGTACAAAGACAGAGGGTAAAAAATAAACATTTGATCCCCATAAAAATACAAAAAATAATGCAGCGCTAACAACCTATACTAAAATACAAATGAGGGAAAGAAGGAAGAAAGAGAGAGGAAAAAGAGGAATGGAGAAGGAGAGTAGAAAGGAAGGGAGGAGAAGAGAAGAAGGAGAAGGGAGGAGAAAAAGGGAGAAAAGGCAAAGAAGAGGAGAGTGAGAGAAGGAAGGAGAGGGGAAAGGGACAGGGAGGGAAAAGAAAGAGTAAAAAAAGGACGAAAAAGAAGGGAAGGAAAGAGGAAGTGAAAGGAAGAAGAAGGAGAGAGGAAAAGAAGGAGGGAGGGAATGGGAGGAGGGAAGGAAAGAAAAAGGAAGCAAGAAGAAAGAGAAGGAGAAGAGAAAAGAAGAGGAAGAGTGCCGGAAAAGGGAGTAGGGAAGGGGAGGGGAAGGAGGAAAGAGGGACAAGTCAAGGAGAGGAAGAAAGGGAAGGAAGGAAAGGGAGGAAAGAAGGAAAAGAAAGAAGGAGAGAAAAGGAAAGAAGAGAGAAGGGAGGGAAGGAAGATAGAGGGAGAAAGGGCAAGGGAAAAGGAAGGAAAGAAAGGAAAGGAATAAGAAGGAAGAGGAAGGCAAGAGAGGGGATTGAAGGCAGAAGGGAAGATGGATCGAGATAGGGGTAGGGACGCGGAGGCGGGGGGGGGAAGGGCATTGCCCCTGGATGGACAAAGCTCGTAGGAAGAAGGGGAAAGGAAAAGCAAAGGGAGGCGTTACCTCCTTCTCGGAGAGCGTTGGGAGGAGGTTTCTTCCTCCGGACAAGACAGAGAAGGGAAACTGGGGAAGGAAGTGGTTTTTCATAAAGAGGAGGGAGCTTGTAAGGGGTCTCCCTTCTCTCCTTCCTTCCTCCTCTTCCTCCCCTTCCCTTCCTTTTCTCCCTTCTTCTCCTTCTCCTCTTCCTTCCTTCCTTCCTGAGACTCTTCTTCAATTTCTTCTCCTTTTTTCTCCCCTCCTTCTCCTTCTCCTTTCCCTCTTTTCCTTCCTTCTCCTCTTTTCTCTTCTTTCCCCCTCCTTCTCCATTCCTTCGTCCCCCTTTTCTCCTTTTCCTCTTCCCTCTTTTCTTCACTTCTTCTATTTCTGCTTTTTCCCCTTCTTCCTTTCCTTTCTCCCCTTTTTTCCTCTTTCCTTTTTTTTTCCCCTTAAGGAACTTCTTCCTTTTCCTCCCTCCCTTCCCTCTTTTTCTCCCTTCCCCCTCCCTTCTCTTTCCCTCCCTTTCCTTCTTCCCCTTCCTTTTTTCTTTCTTCTCCTATTCCTTCCTCTACTTTCTTCCTTCTTCTCACCCTTGTCCCCCTTTCCTCCCCCCTTCCCCCCCTCTCCTCTTCCCTTCCTCCCTACCCTCTTTCTTTCTCCCTCCCCCTCCCTCCCTTCTTCCCCTCTTCCTTCTCCCCTCTTCCCTCTCACTCCTTCCTTTTTTCCCCCCTCCTTCCTCCTTCTCTTTCCTTCTTCTTCCCTTCCCCTCCCTCCTCCTCCTTTCCTTCCCTCTCCTCTTCCCTCCCTCCCTTCTCTCTCCCTTCCTCCTCCTTCTCCCTCTCCTCTTTCTTCCTTCTCTTTCCCCCCCCTCCCCCTCGTTCTCTTTCTTCCTCTTCCCCTTCGTCCTCTTCCTTTCCCCTCTCTCTTTCCTTCCCTCCTTTCCTCTCCCTTCTTCTTTTCCCTCCCCCTCCTCTTTTCTCCCCCCTTTCTTCCTTCCCCTCCTCCCTCTACCCGTTCCTCCTTTCCTTTTTTTTCCTCTCCTCTCCCTTTCCTTCCCTTTCCTCCCCCCCCTCCCTCCTCTTTCTTCTCTTACCCCTCCCCTCTTCCCCTTCTTCAGCCTCTTTCCTCTCCCTCCTCTCCTTTCTTTCTTCTCCTTCCTCTCCCTCCTCCTTTTCTCTCTTTCCCTTCCCCCCTTTCAACTTTTCCTTCCCCCCCTCCTCTTTCTCTTCCCCTTCTTTCTCGTCCTCCTTTCCACTTTCTCTTTTCTCTTCTCCCTTCTTTCTCCCTCCTCTTCTTTTCCTCTCCCCCTTCTTTTCCTTCTTTTTTCTCCTTCTTCCTTCT